CATAGCAAGATCATCCTTGACAAAATCAGCTAAGTATCCTGATTCCACAATTCTCAAACTTTGTATAGATCAGTATTGGGTTTAAGGGGTAAAACCATCATTCTTTGAACATTATAGAACTTTGGCTTAAAAATATTATATACCCTTCCATTTGCAGACTGTCTCGATAAGCTAAGATTGATTTTTAAAATCAGGCGGATATTCTTCTTATCATTTATGATAGTGGATTTCTACCCCTAAACTTGATATGCACACTTATTTTTATTGCTACGTTCCACCGTTTGACGTGAATCTCGACATTTGTCTTAGGTGAAGAGACTCGCTTACTAAGTGTTAGGTGATTGTCTTTGGCATTCCCTTTTCTATTTGACGCGAATCTCAACACTTGACTTAGGTGAAGAGACCCGGTTACTAAGTCCAGGGTGTACATTGACCTTTTATTCTCAGTTTTTTTTTTTCTTTTTTGAAACATTGTTCAGGGTAGTCCACTGTCCTCTAATAATTTGAAGAATTTTGCGTCTAATTTCTCAATCTTTCTCTACTTATTTTGGCAGGGGCAAATTTGAGAGTATTTTCAATTTCTAAACGGTTTCGACAACATTCAAACATGACCAATTTAACTCCTATCACTTGCTACCAATTTCTACAAAATTCAATATTCTTTTATCACTTTCCTCAACTTTTTCTGTTTGGGAATCTCTTTTAATGGAAAAAACTTAAAAATTTCTTAGTAAAAAATTCTTAGTTCTTCATTTCTAAAGGCTTAGCTTTTTTTTTTTCAATTTTTCTCTCTTTCCTCACCCCCAACTTAAGTGCCATTGTCCCTAATGGCATAGCTAGAATGTTGCAAAGGGACTTGGGCCAAAGGGGACAATCAAGGGGGTTTTTTCCCAAGGGGTTTAAGGTCTACCAACTGGTCTCGAATCAAGAAAAGAAACAAAAACTCTAATACTAAAAGCAAAAGCAACTAAAAATTACGTTGGGTTGCCTTCCAACTAGCACTAAGTTTAACGTCTTCAGTCAGACGCATTCACACATTTCTTTCATCTACACTCTTAGACTTGCTTTCTTCTTTACACATACAGGGCTCAGATTGGATTAACCAAGGGGTAAACAGGGCATCTACAAAATCGTCCACTACATCTACCTTGAACTCATCTTCCCCTAGGTTTGGATACTTAGTGGCACTAAATACATTTAACTGGACTTTTTGCTCCCCAAATGAAATGTCCATTTCTCCTGATTTATAGTTGATGTTTGCATTAGCCGTTGCTAGAAACGGACGTCCTAAGATTATCGGGTTATGGTTCAGTTCCTCAGTTGGGGTCATGTCTAGGATGATAAAATCCATTGGGAAGTAACAATCCTCTACCCTGACAATGACATCATCAATAACACCTTGAGGAGTCTTGACTGACCGATCAACGAGATGCAGAATTACCGGGGTTGGTTTTAACTCGTCGATTATGAACCTTTCATAAATAATAGAGGGAAACGGATTTACACTAGCCCCAAGATCCAATAGGGCCCGATCGAAAGTAATTCCAGAGATGACACAGCTTATGAGAGGAGCACCAGGATCTTTCATTTTTCGGGGAATTTAGTTTAGGAGAACCGCACTAACATTTGCCGAGAGCATCACTTTTTGTGGGGCCGATCGTGGCTCCCTCTTTTGAGTGCACAACTCTTTCAAGAACTTGGCGTAGGCCAAGACATGTTGGATAGCATCGAGGAAAGGGATGTTAATATGGACTTGCTTGAATAACTCCCTAATCTCCTTGTTGCGAGTCCTTCGTCTTTCGCAACGGCCTAGTTGTGAGTGCGGTTGGAAAGGGAACTATAGGTGGGTTCACTATAGGTTCTTCTTCTAAGTTCCCCTTTCCTTTTTCTTCCCCCTGCCCCCCAACTTACGGGTCTTCCAAAAACCTTCCACTCCGTAAGGTTGAAAGGATGGCTAATCAAATCCAGTGGCAGTAGTTGCAGATTGACTGGACTACTTGCAGGAACCCCTCCTGACAAAATCTCGACATCCTTCCCTTTTACAACCCTTGAACTCTTCAAGAAACCTTAGCCTTATGAACTGGGTAAATTGACCAACCCCTTCTCCAAGGCCCCTGGGGTCCTTTTTATAGAGAAGGGTGGATAAAACTGGGATTAGAGAGAAAGAGGGGGTGGCAATTGGGTTTTTGTAGAAATATGGGTGCCCTAGGGTTGAGAATGAAGGGTTAGGATTATTCTAAAGTGATCCTAAGGCTGAGAAGAGAAGGAGAGGGCACCCAATATTATGTATGGCTGAGATTTGGGCTCCTAAGATTGGATGGTGGAGATTTAGGCGCCTAGGGATGAAAGGTGGAGATTAAAAAGAGTGGGTGGTGCCCTAGAGTGAATGGCTGAGATAGAGAGTGAAATAGAGGGTTGAGATCTAGTGGCTAAAGGCTGAATGGTGAGGATTAGAAGTTAGGTGAAGTCCTAAGATTTGCTAAGGAGATGAGAGTATGCTAATACATTAGGAGGGGCGCCATTCTGGGTTTAGCAGATAGGAGGTGCCCTCTTGTGCTCAGTTTTTCATAGAAACACCCTCTCTCTTAGCTGGAATTCACACCAGCTTCCCAAAAATTGCATTTCAGCCCTGAAACTTTCCCAGTTTTTTCCAAGATTTGCACAAGGACCCTCAGAGGTCACAATATTGAATTTAACTGGGAAAATGGCACATTTTGACTATTCTAAGGCCTAAGTAACCCTAAAATGATGCCTATTAAGGCATCAAAATACAGATATATCAGTCGCGCACAACAATTAAAGCGCAAGTCTTGGTAGATTTCATTGCCGAGTATACCTTCAACTCGCCATCGCCTGGGGATGGTGCTAGCAATAGAAGTTTTATCCAATGCGGTGCCCCCACCTCATGAGATAGTGAGCTGGGACGAGGAGCCATGGATTCTTCATGTAGACGACTCGACTTATCGGGGCAGAAGTGGAGCTGGATTAATACTATATGGACCTTGCGGAACAAAGCTGGAATACGCGCTCCGGTTTTTATTCCGAGCATCAAACAATGAAGCTGAATATGAGGTGCTGCTAGCAGGATTGGTATTAGAGAAGGAAGTAGGAGCCTAACACATAGCCATATGCAACGATTCATAGCTAGTCGTAAACCAGGTAAATGAGAACTATGAGGCTCGGGTGAAGAACCATCCTGTTGATTTTGCTTCATCCTGCACCGTGTCATTTTCGGTGGAAGTAGTCTTTGGATTTTTCTTTGGGCGTGAACACCTTCATTGGAGGTTATTACTACTTCATATCAGGTATATCCCTCCACTCTCTTTTGGTTTCAGATCTGGTCTAGTTCAGGTTCAAGATTGATCCTTGAAAATGCAGTTTTCTAAAATAAGGAATGCGATTCCCACATGGGAGAGAGAGAAAATTTTGAAATTTCGCCCAACCTTCCTGCAGGGTTCGGCCATCCATATGATGGATCTCTCATCCCTTCAAACCTCTCTTTCTCTTCTACAGATCTCAGCTCGGTTCCTCAACTCGGCTTCACAGCTCGACACAAATAGCTTGGCTCACTGTAGATTGAACCCGGTCCGAGCCATCTCATCAGACATGAGGGAGTGAACAAATTCTTTGCCTCATCTATTGGTGGGCATATTTTGTGCCTCATCATTTTCTATTTCAACTCTTAAAGGCTTAAGGTTCAGTTTGGAAGTTTTTCATATTACTCATTATGTATTACATTACAAGGGATCAAGGGAGTGGGGGTAGAGAAGGGTGCACATGAGGTCCACCAACCTTATCTTTAGGCGCTTGCAACTATGAAGGTTTGATCCCTTGTCTCCAATTTACCAAAAAACATGGTTTTTAAAACTGACCCGGTGACCAAACTGGTCAGGGGTCCGATTATCGGGTTGAAAGGTCCGACTGTTCGAACTGAATGCTCGGTCCATTCTGACAAGAAAATAAAAAAAATTCAGAAAATAAAAAACGGTCAAAACCGTTCGAACGGTTAACTACCCGGTTCAACGATTCATTGACCAAAATCAACGGTTTTGGGGGGAAATCCGATTTTTGGGGAAAATGGAACCGGTTCCCGATTTTTCCGGCCTAGTTTTGAAAACCATGCCAAAAAATAAAATCCCTCCTCTCCATAACTGGAGCAAGTCAAGTGACCATCTCAGCTACTGGCCATTGGCTCCAACTGGTCCGAGAGAGAATGAGAAGGAAAGAGAAGCCGTTACTGTTGCCTTTTTGTGTTTGATGATAGGCTGTGTTTGGTTTGAATGAAAATATAGGAATCCCTTTCCTTTTCCTACCTTTTCTTTCAAACCAAACATGGCATTTTTGGAATGAACCCAGGTTTCCTACTCGCATTCTCTACTCGTGCCGTACCCACATTACAACCGAGTTCACATCTCCATCCCACAAGGGGCTGCTCCACAATGTCCCACAGAACATCCCCACCGTGTATTGGAAACATCTCCCCATAATAATACCAATCTTGATGATGTCATTATCTGGAGATATTCCCAATACACGGCGGAGATGTGATATTAGTACAGTCGCACATCTCATGATACAACATGCCGATGTCTGGCTGGATAGAGTGTGGGTAGAGAGTAGTGGGCAGAAAATTAGAAAATTCAGTTTGTTCTGGAATTAGTCTTTTGGTTGGTTGGCACTTGACAATCTTTGGTAAGTATCTTTATGTTTTACATGGAGCCCACTTGTCTCTTGTATGGTTGAACTCCACAAGAAGATTGCACTAGTCCATACTCCATTCCAAAAATAGAAAAGAGCGAACTAAGCGTTGGACTTTACCATTATGGGTTGCCTCAGGCCCATGTTGAGCCCAGATCCAGAACTGGAGCAAAATAGACCCCCATGCCCCATCCAGATGCTTCATAATTCATTGTTTCTCGTTTTCAGGTCAATTCAGAGAAGGGTAATAATGTCATTTAATGCTTCTCGGCGTTTTAGTTTTTGTTGCCCCTCTCCTCTCACCTTCCTCTATCTAAAGTCCTCACATCGTCTGGGACACGCTCTTTTCTCCTCTCCATCTTACACTTTCCAAAGAAAACCCTCGACGACCTCTTAACGATGGCGGCATGGACGGCAGCGGCTCGTCAAGCAGCGTCTCTAACTCGTCTCTCCACCCCAACGTCGGCTGCCCAAGCCTCTAAGTTGATCCAGCGGCGCGGTCTTGCAGGTGGTGGAGGTAAGAATCTCATTTTCTTCCGTAATCCATCAGTTTTGATCTCAATTTTAGATGTTTGTTATTTCACATCTTTTTCTTCTCCATAGACCTTGATCTCACTCTTAGATTTGGAAAAACGAAATTTAAATCAGAGGTTCTGCACTTCTATTGTTTGCATTGTTCCACGAAAGAAATTTGTTTTCCCCCCATTTTATTTATCTGGGTTAAGAACCTCTAAATGGTGACAGTTGGCTATTTAGTTGGTTAATTCGGATAGACATATTTACAGAACATTCTTTTCTCTCCTTTTGAACTATTGTAGAGTGTACTAATGCACCTCCAATGCCGCAATAATCTGAGATGATGTCTTTAACAATGTTATACCTTATATGCATCATATTCAGGTTAATTGAATGGTATTTATGCTGGTAAAGAAACCCTTTAGATGACCATTGTGATATGGTCTGTTGAGAAGCCGGTTTCACTTTCTTGATCAATGTGAATAAGAAGTGACGGAAAAGAGTGAGCTTGATCAATGCCAGACTCTGCAATATGTAAAAAATTAGGGTTCCTCACCCTTAACTTAATACCACTATTGGAACTTTGGATATAAAAGAGAGTGAAAGAAAATTAAATAATTTTTAAATGGAGTTATAATGGAATTAATAATTTGCTTTTGATTTTTTCTCTTTCCCTTTGTTCGTAAAATATATATATTAGCATTCAAAGAGGGGGAATAATAAATTTGTGGTCATGATTCTAAAGAACATTGTATCTCTAATGGTGGTAGTTTTCTGATATGTCTTTCTTATCCTATTTTTATTAAATGATGATTTTTAAATAAACAAAATATTTCTGCTTCAATGTATATGGAATATACATCTATCAAATTTATCATTTAGCTAGACAACTCTTGTCTTTTGCAAGATTGACTTCATTGATATAGTCTATTATCACAATATCTTTTGACTTATTTCACTGATGCCTTCCAATTTCAAAAAAGGAAAAGATTCTTTTGTTAAATTCATGAATCATGATATGTGAGTTTGGCTCTTTTGCAGATCATCATGGACCCCCTAAGGTGAACTTCTGGCAGGACCCTATGAACCCATCTAAATGGAAAGAAGAGCATGTAAGTAATTTTTTTTTGTGTTTAAAAGGTATGTTATGTTATAAAGATAATACCTAATTTATTAGTTTCCAATTAACAAGTTTAGAAATTTTAAAGTGTTATAAAACATCAGATGAACTTTGAATTCTCCCCATTCCTATTTCTTGGAATTTGGATGTATAAGATTTTAAATGTTCATTTTCTTTGGTTTTAATCTTATGCTGTTCCTCACAGTTCCAGTGTTCCAAGTCCAGAGATGCTTAGTGATGTCAAAATGATTAGGAAAATTGACATGGATGGTACTTAGGTGATGACATGGTTACTTGGGACTTTGTCTTGGTGTGTATGTGTCTGCCTTTGATAGTTCTGAGGCAAGTTGTAATGCTCTTGGGCCTAGGAAATCAAATTCAGTCTAGATTTTGTGTTATGGTTGAGGCCTTTCTAGGGAATTCATAACTGTTTCTTTTGATTAAGTTCATTATATTTGAACGCCATATTTATAGCATGAATTAATGGGTTTGTATGAAATGACCTATTGGTGTTGCTATTTTTTCCTCCTTTTTCTTTCATGTCTGGATGATCTAATGTCCCAATCAATTAGCTAGTCTTGGATATAACTTAATATGAACTCTCACAATTGTACATTTTTTCCACTTTCAGAAACAGAAAACTTGATAAGGTCATGTGTATAAATGCAATAAAACTATTGATCTTAGAGCTAGAATCTCATCTAGGATACTATTTTCATCAGGGGCATGATGGAATTTGGCACACTAATGTAAGGATGGAAAATCTATTGATCCAACTGAGCTTAGCATGTTCCCAGATATTGGATGGTCAACCTGTATTTAATGGTTGTATGATCCCTCAGGCCAATCACTTGGTTTCTCCTTAAAATCTATACAAAATATATATCCTAAAACTCCATATTTCATTTTCTAAAACGATTCAAAAGTTCATTTTAGATGTATGGTTCTGGGAATTGATGTGGCACAAGATGGATAAGGACATGGTCTTTGGAGAATCTGAATGGGGGGGAGGGGGCGATGAGGATATTTTATTGCTTGCTATGTTGGAGAGGAATCTTGCATGGAACCGGGCTTAGAGGGGAGAAACAACATTCTGGGCAAGGGAGTGTTCTACGGTCTCTGCCGTTGCTTTACCTCCCTTAGGAGTTAACATCTTTCCAGGTCAAGGGAAATTTGGTTCCAGGTCAGTATTCCTATGTCTGTATATTCTGCTGCTAGACAAAGGAAATTGCCCTTCCAAACAACTTCATAGGCTTGTTTATGACAATGCGCATTCACAACCAAAAAAGCTAAGCTATCCTCCCATGCCATGGATGACAGCAGACCTTTCCCGTAGCTGGCTGTGGTCATTCCTTTTGACTTGTCTTAGATGGATTAATCATTTTCTAGCTTAGTTGGGCTAGGGAGTGTCAAGTAGACTAATCCACTTTGGTCAGCCATGTCTCTTCCAAAATTGGGCTACTGTTACTTCTCTTAGGTGACATTAAAGCCTTCCAGATCAGTGGACTAGGCCAATTTCTTAGGTGATGCATTTCTATTTTCTACCCTAAGTGGTACCATGTCTTTTGAAATTTGGGTTAATAGAGGCTTGGGGTAATTCTAAACTATAACATCTATAATTTGATAATTTACTTAAAAAATATCTACAGAAAACTGCATACTAGCCACATGACTTAGTGGAGCAGGCAAACTTGGATATCTAGAGTTGTTGGGCTGTTGGCACTTTGACATGGCATGGCATGGCATGGCATGTTTCCATTGCATGAGCACCTTGCCACCTGCTCCATGTACCCAGTAATACAGGTATATCTATGTATCAGATAAAAAAAACACAGGTATTATCTAAATATACTACCTGGATGCCATTACCTGTAATTTTCAAACTTTCTTAAATCCAGGACCTGATTGAATGGTCAGACTGGATGACCTGGGAGCCTAGACATCAAGAGGTCTGTTCTAATCTTAGACTTGGATATATTAGACGTGGATTTAATTGAGAAAAATTAATGGTTAAAACAACGTAATCAACACAGATGGTTGAATTGTAGAACTGGGAAAACAGTAGGTCTTTTATTATTTAATTATAGTTTCAGAGACCATCACTGAGCTGGCTGGAGCAGTGTGACCAATCTGGTTGGCTTGCACTTGAAGTTTGGAAAAGCTGGTTCTCAATTTCTACTTTTATGAATCTATTCAAATACATGACTATTTTTGTCCCATTTTTGCTAAACAATAGGTTTTTTATTATTTAGTTTTGATTTTGGAAACCATCACCAAGCAAGCTGCCTGGAATAATATGGCATTTTGACTGAGTTGAACTGGCAATTCTACCAACCTGGTTGGTGTGCATGACTGTTCCAGTGTCATGTTTTTTGTGAATCCATGTAAATGCATGACTGTTTGACTTCTTTAAATCAAGATAGATGCTTTTTTTGGGTTGGAAAATTGGCTACACAACAGGGAGTAGCCATCCCCAAAACCCCTGGGCTTCCGACACTGGTGAAGAAAGTACTCAATCCCAGGTCTCTGCAACAACCAGCAAGTTAGCTGGCACCTTTGTTAGATACATTCTTTAGACTAGTACTTGGAGTTTTAGAGAGGACCTTGTTTTTTTATCATGTTTTCACTTTATGTAATTTAACAAACATTTCCTTTTGTTTCTTACTATTTAACATAATGAACCATATCAAGCTGATACACTTAGAATTTGAAACAGAGTAACCTCATGATATTTATTGGCATTTCTTTTTTTTTTTTTAATTCTTTTTGAAGGGCTACACAATGGGGGTAGCCCATCCCCCAACCCATAACCCCCCCAACCCCAGGTGCAGGCGGGATTTGATCCCAAGTCTCCACTGCAACCAGCAGGAGGCCTTACCAACCATCTGGTTGGCACCTTTGCTATATTTATTGGCATTTCTTAATTTGAAACAGAGTAACCTCTGAACCATTGGCATCTGAAATGATTGTTTTCCAAGGCAAGAGTTATCCCTTGAAACTTTAAATAGCTGTTATGTTGCAATTATGTTTTGGCTCAGTCAATTTTGTGATCTTTCTCTAAGCCAATGTTTTCCTCTTGAAAATGCATGCTTCAAAAAAGGAAATTCACCTTTTAAATGAATTGTTGTTTGGACATTGCTTGGATACCCTTACAAGATTCAATTCATGTTTAAAAGTGTATGTAAACCTTGTCAAAATGCAAAGATATTGTTGTGGGCTCCGTCACTTTTACCAGGAAAAGAGAATTAAGACAAGCATTATTTCCTGTATGTTTAGGATCTTGTGAGCTTGTAAGGTTTTCTGAATCTCCAATTAGTGATCTGAGTGAAGATTTATATCTCAACTTAAACTTCAACTCAAAATTCTTGCAGTTTGTGATTGTCTCTTTATCTGGATGGGGTTTACTTTTCTATGGAGGCTACAAGTTCTTTAATGGAGGCAAGAAGGACAAGAAGGAAGAGGTAGCTCTAAATCGTTCTGACATAATCTTTTATGTCTATAGTTTAAGAATAGCAGCAATTTAGGGTTTATGATTTGCATGATCATCTTACTCAGTGATATTCATAGCAATGTGATCAAGATCTGATTGAATAGATTGATCATTTGAAAGGAATTTCCTTTAATTGTATAATTATCTAAATAATTGTTGTTAAAAAAATTCTTTGTGATTATTTATTTATAATAAAATTCTTTGTGATTATTTATTTATAATAAAATTCTTTGTGATTATAATTAGATTTCAATCCTGGTAAATAGATTCTTCACTGCTTCATTTTGTGCAAGACTAGGGAAATTATAATACTGAATGGTCTATACGAGTGCTCAGGTGTGACATAGGGCAATTGTAATAGCGAGGATAGTGTTCTTTTTTTGTTCTTTACAAATAAGAAATATTTCTAAGAATTTATCAAAAAAAAAAAAGAAATATTGTTAAGAAGTTTTTTATTCATATGTAATTAGATAGTTTATCAAGGAACCCGAAGATCCGTAGTTCCCTGCCATGGTGGAGGTCTAGTGGTAGTTCCTGCTGGAACAGCTTAGCTATAGCTTTACGTGCATTAGTACTGCTGGTCTATATGCCTACATGACTAAATCCCATCCTGAGCTTTACACAAAATGATGCAGTTCCTTATCTGATGTTTCCTTTCCACCCTTGGAGGGCACCCACAACATTCTCTGCGCCAGCTCCACCATTACACAACTGTTACTACTCATAAACTGATGAAATTGCATGAAATTTTCTTTTTATAAATTAATTGATTTAATTTTAATCTCGGTGCAGAAACCCGCAGAAGCAACACACTAGGAGTGAAGGACAACTTTTAAGCTGGTTTTATCATCTCGAATTGCAGCTGGAAATAAAGTATGTGCAAGGACTTCATTTAGGGAGATGTGTTTTTTTTTCTCTGTATCAGCAGTTCTCTGTGTACATGACTTTGATGAGTGATTTGGCGTTAAAATGCCGAGGGCCTTTTTCATTTCATTTCTTTAATCAAATTGGTTGGTCGAGCTCAGCACACCAATGCACATCTCGGTGTTTTATCTTGGTAGTTGGTAATAAAGCCAAGCATCTGGCGTCTATCTTCGCTGGTTCTTCCCATATCGAGAGTCGAGACACAGTGTGTGATCGAGGGATTGAGCAGCCTTCAGTCGAAAGTCGAAACCATTGACGTGTTTTCAGTTTTTCACTTGTAATGTATTATTGTGTATCAGATAGAAAACCGGGAGGATCGGGTTTGGCTTTGTTTTCTTTGTTTGTGAGGTAAAATGGAAGTAAAAAACTGTGGTAGGAAGGTTGTTTGTGTTTGGGAGGTCAAATTATTTACCCAAAGTTAATTGTTTTGCCAACATAAACGATCCTCACTAAAGTTGGGCTGCTTTTTAACAGCTGAAGCTGCTATACAGTCTATACTGATTACTGTTACTGGATGACTCTTTGCTTCGTCTTTGAGTTCATAAATTACTAAGGAGACTGCAAGCTCTCAAGTGGATGAAAGCTGTGATTATTTTTTCTTTTTTTGTTGGATACGAGATTGGTTGCTTACTATTCCTGCAAATATTTTATTATTTGATCACTAAAAACACAAGGCTATAAGTCGTTCAATTCAGCCACATCAGCGATTGTCAAACTGACTCATGTAAGTGAAAATTTTCTTTCTGCCTAAATAAGTAAAATCCTCCTACGAAGTGTGAAAACATTACAGCTTGGTAGGAAAACCCGTGGTTGTCATCTAGAATTCAGTCTCGCCATCCTTCCCTCCATTTGCCTCCTCATCAGCTTCAATATCATTTGCTTCTTCTTGTTCACCAATATGGGCAACCTCCAGAGTTGTTTGCTCTTCATATCCAGTGGCTTTCTCTGAACTTTCTCTGTTGTTGGTTGTAGTTGTTATCATGTCTTGCCTTCGAATACTACCTGCTTCTTGGTCCACTGGCTGTTCAAAGACGTTTACAGCACGTCCTTCAGCCTCATCAATGACATTTCTGATTAACCCTTCTCCATAAAGAGAGCTCTGTGGCTTTACCAATTTCTCATTTTTAGAAATAACTTCGCCATTCCTCCCCTCTTGATGAACTGTACTGGCACTTGTATCATCGACCATCAAATGTTCAGCATGTTGAGAACTTCGACCTGTGGAATTCTTGGGCATCTCTGATCTTCCTCTATTTGGAAGTTCTTTCTCCTCTTTACCCTCCAATCTTATTTGGTTATCGTCATTCGTTCTTATTTCAACAGTTTTAGACCTTTCAATCATTTCCAGTTGCCCATTTCCCTGTTCTTCATTCGCAACTGTATCTCCATGAGCATGTTCATCTCTCGTATTCAGGCCTTTTTTATCAACTTGGTAGCTCATAAACCTTTCCAAATTCCCAATTTCTGACATCTGTCTCTTTTTGCCTGTTTTCGCTTCATCTTTATCGGAGGTTCTAGACCGTAAGTCCATACCAATACCATCCGACGGATTCTTCTTCAATTCCCTATTTTCAGAAACCATTCTCCATCTCTTACCCTTCATCTTACTTCTGGAACCATGTATTCCTCTCATGCTAGAACCGTCACCATTTTGAGAGCCATTGGCCATTTCTAACTTTATCCTATCATTAGCAACCACATCAGGATCCCGACCTTTGCCATAGTGGAGTCTTTTGGGCTGTTCATCTCTGATGGTGTCATGTTCTTTACTGTCCATTACTTTTGAATCACCATATTCATTTTTAGTTTCCGAGACTTGAGAATCATGAGAGTTTCCGTCATTAGTTCTGTTATTCATTGTACTTGCCACTCTGGAAACTTCACCATCTTGAAAACCTCTAGGCTTCTCAAACTTCTCATCTTTATTTTCTCCCATTCCTTGACTCTTATCTGAAATCCTTTTACCATTTTCACCTTGTTCTTCAGAACTTTCACCATCCATATTATTTTCCAATTTCTGCAACAAGCCTTCTCTTAGAATTTCTGTCTGCCCTATATCATCTTTTCCATTTTCAATCCTTCCTTCGTGCATTGTTAGATTCTGGCCATCTTTGGCATTCTTAGATTCTTGAAGTCCCCCCTCTTTAGCAATGGCACCATCCACTTTCTTCTTATCCACCTTATTTTCAACTTCACTGACTATATTCCTTGTTGCAGTTAGATTTGTAGGTGGATTTGATGAATCATCAATACTTGGTGACCAGATATGAGCAGTGCTTTTGAGGTGGTGCTTCATTTCCTCAATTTCATATTCTTTCTGCTGTAAGAGTTGTGTTAGAGCTGTTACTTGAGAGATTGCCTTGGTTGAATCCATCTCCTTCTCTCTTAATATTTTAATCTCATTCTGCTTCTCCTCGAGTGCTGACTCCAGGATTCTCTGTTCCTCTTTAAGGGAATCTGACATGGATTCCATCTCAATGATCCTGTTACTCAGCTCTATCTTTTGGCTTGCAAGGGAGTATAATTTTGCTGTCATCTCTTCATTTTTCCTTTTTACTTCCTTTGTGGAATCTCTTTCCTTCTGTAAAATAAGAACTAGAGTCATTGCTTAAAACCTATCTATACTATGTCCATATAAACCAATCATAAATGAGAGAAAAATAGTTGTTCCATTGGTAGAAACTGTTCAACATGGAAATTCATCTACATATCTGATGTTAAAATTACAATGTTTTGAGTCCAGCTTAATAATTTAGAAGAGTAAATGATTATACAGTTTTTTTTTTTCAATTATGGATCTGTTAAATGGGATGTAATATAAGGTTTTTCTTTCTCTTTCTCTCTTCTTCTTTGGCGAGGGGATGCTATCACTCTTGATATGAAGAAGTGATAATTGCTATTCGATATTTCCATTAGAGTGCCATTGGTTGTTGTGAAATGGCTAGAAATTCATGTAAAGTTGAAACACGATTTTTAATTATTTCCATTTCTTGTGTTGTCACTCCTGATCTTAACAGCTGCTATTGCTGTTTGATACCATCATAGAGTGCCACTGAATGTTGTGAAATGGCTAGAAGTTCATGTAAAGCTGAGATATCATCTTTAATTATTTCTATTACTAATATTTTTCAACTCTGCACTCTACCCATAATAGAAGAAAGGTAAAAAATAGAAGCACTTATCAACAATCTGGTTCTGTGTCATACTTGATGGCACCCATTTCCTTCTAAAAATTCAAATTCCACGCCATGATGATCTAGTTTCGATGTACATCTACTGTTGGATTGCACACAAGCTTCAAACAGTTTCCATTGCATCACAATTTAGTTCCAAAAAAAGTTACCATGTTTTTCATTGTTTGAACACAATATGTGAATAAGCACACACAAGGTCTTTTAGCCACTACATGTTTTAGGTCACAGAATCAATTGTGAAGGTGCGTGAAATTAGACAAATGAAAGGATGGCAGACATCTTTAACATTCTTATCCTCTTTTGAAAACAAAAATGGATAGATTTTTGCAGTACAATTGAACAAAAACCACTCAATTCAACCTTGATCCTAACTATTTGGGGTTGGCTACATGAATCCTATCCTACCATTGTGCTTTGTCAAAAGCCATGTTTTCTACCATATTCTAAGTCTTTAAATCATTTTTAACAATCGAACAAAAACGTTTGCATCATTTACAGATCATATATTAATGATTACTTTAAGCTTTATAAATATCATATATGTAACATTATAGTGTCAGCAAGTCAAAGGCAAGGTGGAAGCTAGCAGCAAGATGTGTAATCTTAATGCAAGTCCTCTGAAAACTCATGCATAAACATAGGGTCCTAGAGATAGATTCCAAAATATTACAAAAGATTTGAGACATCAACTAGAGTCTGGTAGTGTTGATACATGGAGCAAGGACATTGACATGAGGAGCAGTTCAGGAGGTCTTTTGAGATGTTAAGAAAGTTATACCTTTCCCTCACCAAAAACAAAAAGAACAGAGAAAAAAAGAAAATACTGAACCATACTTCCCCATGTTCTTACAACAAGTTGTACCATATGATCAACAATTTCAACATAGACTAATTGAAGTTTAAACTTTATGCAATGGGTATAAGATAAACTTAATTTATGGACAAAATGGTGAGCAATCAAGAAACAACAGCATCATATTCTAGGTGAGATATGGATGTCAGATTGATAATTAGAGAGATAAAAATTCAGAGGACTATTCAGCATAGTGTGCATATTGTAATGTGAATATATTTGAGAACATTTTCAGCAGTGAAGGATGTATGTGATCAAACTGAGTTGATTAGTGAAATGTAATACCTACGCTTTGTCTATAATAGCTGAGAAAAGGGTACAGATGCTTATGATGGTGATGATAGTCACTATGCCAGCAGCACTTGGCTTTTTCAAATGCAACAGGTAGTTAGATACAGAAAACCATGTAGCTTGATAGTTGGGATAGTGATATAACTTCAATTCTATGCAAGACAAAAAAAAGACTGGAGAGATGGGGGGTGATTGAAAAACTTTGGTGTGGTCCAAGTCTATTGATTGGATGTAATTTTTCTTGGAATTAAACAAGAAAAAGGGAGAGATAGAATTTCACCAGTTTCCTTTCTACACAGACAAACACAGAATTAGTCATGCTATGTGGGTTTATGCCTTGACCGTTACTGGCCAGATCCAGACCCTGTAAGCGCATCCTGTAAACAACCGAACTTCATGTCCCACAGGTTTTGAGAGAATTGAGTCATAGTAGTCACGTGGGTGGCACGTGAAGTCCCTTTGTTTAGTTTAGAAACATCACGTGGGTGTATTTACTGCTGAGACCTGAGTGATTTTTTTTTATTTTTTTTAGAGGAGGAAGAATTGAAAGTAATAGTGGAGAAACAACCAAAGAAGACTACATTTCAAAAGAAACCCCTGAAGTCTGAAGAGGGTCTGGCCTCTGCTTAATGATACAGAGAAAGATGTCATCCACAACCCGAAATCCATGATATGTTCCATTGCATGATGGGGTGCTAACGAAGTTATGGAAAATTTTGAGTCTGATCTCCACGGAAAAAGGAGGTTGACAAGAGACAAGGCCACCCATCTGATCGACTCTATGACCATGCTTCCCACATTGACAACCGTCAAATAACATCAAAGAGCAGTTGGATAGAAATTTCCCTCTTCTCTCTTTTTTAGTTCCAAATTCTTTGGGGTTTGAAGTGGCATCAGATCACCAATTTGGAGGAATTACTAGCTGACTTACTATACTCGGATCATAACCAACGTCAAAATTAAAAGACTAGTTTTTCTTTTGAATGCGAAAGAAACCAACAACAGGCTCTTTCCGGTGGTAGAGGATGTGATGGATTCAGACAGATCACGGTTTGATAAGTTTCATAAGAACCTGTAACACATGCGAGAGAGAGAGAGAGAGAGAGAGAGATCATATATACCTGCAAGAGGAGGTGAAGGGACATGATCTGGCGGTCCTTGTCCTGAACAACAAGGTTGAAAATGCGCCTCTCCCTAAGCTTGTGGAGCACCATTACACCCAACGCTGCTGCCCCAAACGCTAAAAGCAGCATCATCGCATATGGCCTCCCTCTGTTGCTACTCCAGTTCCCTTTTGCCGCCATCTCTCTCTCTCTCTCTCAAGTCTCCAGGAAATGGATATCTCTAAGTAAAGAGAGAGAAGCAACAGGGTCTCTCTGTTCCTCCGACCGGCCTCCCTGTTTGGTTTTTATAATATATCGCAGCTCCTATTTGCTTCAAATCTAAAGAACCCTGCTGAGGAAGTTGCTTAATTTGCCTCTCTCTCTCTCTCCCTGCTGAGGAAGTTGCTTAATTTGCCTCTCTCGCTCTCTCTCTCTCTCCCCTCACAGACGGTTCACACAAGGGTAGCGAGCATCTCACGTAGAAACGGAAGTCGCAAGGTGGAAGAAGCATGGGAATTGTGTCAGGCGCTGATTCCAATTTCTAGAGATGGTTCCCACACTTCCCACCAACCCAATCACAGTTACTACAATGCCCTTGATATCTTCTCTAAATGACAGACAGATCGATGAGTGCAGTATCAAGAACAAGCTCGATAGCCATAGGCATGGACATGCAGTTTTTTTTATATTCGAAAGAAATTAGAAGCCAAATCTTAGTTAGATCCATAGACTCCTGACTTCTGAGTAAACGTAAGAGTGTAAGATTACTTTTGTTTCTATATTATTTCAAGCAATAGAATAATAGTAAGAAGAGAAAAAATATATATATAGGGAAGTTGGTCTCTCTAGACAGAGTCTCGAGGAGAGGGAGAGTCAAGAGTGCGCTGTCTTTTTGCATTGATTAAGGCAGAAGGTAGTCTGAGACTCTGAGGTCAAAAGCATGCTCGTTTTCAGAGTGTTCTCTCCACTTGTGTTCTTCCTCTTCAAACGTATAATGCACTCCAGCACCTCACCAAGCAACCAAGCTTCACCTCCCTCTCTCTCTCTCACACACACCATAATTTACCATGCACACCATCACCTGGGTATTTTAGAGGTTTAGAGAGATGGCATTGTTTGTGCACCTTCCTTGGAATGTTTCTGATGACAGAGCAATTTATCTGTGGAATTTTTATATAATATAATTTCCGTGTATATATACCATCAGCCATCTCCAACTCCGTTTTGGTCCCTAAGGTTCAGTTTAGAAGGAGTATAAATACAAATTTGTAGAGTGCAAAACCTTATATTTTGTATGTATTTGCATACTAAACTAAACCAAACTAAGCTGAATAAAGAGTGTTTGTTTGTGCCAGATTAATATCTGCATGATATTTTTGAAAGTTTAGGGTACTCAAGTATTATTTAGGATACCTATTAGTCACTACCCCAAAAGTACAGAGTACCTATTTGTAATATACCCTTTTAAATATGGCTATTCAACCTGACAAGTAACAAACTTACAATAACCCAAAACTGTTGCAGTTTAAATATAAAATTAACCAATGGCCACCCATTAAATACAGGTCAACTACAGCTGTTATATATATTTTGTTTGGGGTTCACTACTCATGACTCTTGTGATAAATTTAGGTTGAATGTCATATCTAATATTTAATTTAGGAGATTAAATCAAATCTAATTTTCAATTAATAACCCATTTTGTCTAAAAGAATGAAACCCACATTTAATATATATAGAAATAATTATTTTTTTGTGTAAATTGCTGAAACCTCCCCTGAAGTTTCAGGTTATTGCTGAAACCTCTCATGAAGTTTGGTAATTGTAATCACCTCTCGTGAACTTTCTTACATAGTTGCATGTAGACCATTTTTTTTAATAAAGTTTGCATTATTTTATTTATAAAACTAGCCTCAATAGTAACTGTATGGGTATTTGGTCATTTTTATGCCTATTTTTAGAAGATCCTAATAGAGAGGGTATACTTGCAACTGTGTTAGAAAGTTTAGGAGATGTAATTGCAACTATCAAACTTCAGAGGAGGTTTTAGTGACGGCCCAAAACTTCAAAGGAGGCTTCAGCAATTTACCCTCTTTTTTTTTTTGTAAACCACTTTTATTACCATAATGTGATAAATGAATGATACCTTGGTAGGGCACTAGGGCCACAACAATACATTAAGGCCATGATTTTGGGTTTTAGTCCTCACTATGACATTGTTTCAGCAAAAGTGAACTCTTTTCACAGCCATGGATACAAATCTAAAGAGAAATTTGTTTTGTTTTTTGGTAAAGAAGTAAGAGAACTTTGGCTTCTATTACAAGCTTTTACAAAAATGAGGAGGTTTAGTCTTATCATCCACATGAAAAGCAATTATACTCAAGGTTTAAAGTATTGATACAATAAGCCATGGATATAGATGCATCATGATTGAGTATATATCCCGCAAGTTGTATGTATCCGCACAATACATCTCTATATTGGGCCATATCACACTATATTAATGGATACGGTCTGACATGCACCGATAGGGTTTAAAGTATTGATACAATAAACCCAATATATGGCCATGAATATGGATATGCCACGACTAGACATATATCCTACTACAACTCTATATCCACACTATATTAGTGGATACGGTCTGACATGCACCGATATGAAAGCGCATCAGTGCCTAATTTGATTTTTTTTGAAAGATAAGAGTAATATATTAAACAACAGTTATATCTACATAGTCCTGAACCACCGGTATTGCAGTGGGATAAGTATTAAAAGAAAGGGAGTTCTGTGGATGGCCCTTAGCCAACTGGGGCCGCTGCATGGGCTGACATCGATCGCCAAGTTTAGCCAGCCAATGGCAAGACCAAGGCAACAGAAACTTCTCTTGTAGCGCTTTGGCCTTTGCGAATCAGAACATAAAACTACACTCCCAGAATTCCATTAATTGCTGTACAAATTCAAAAGCCTACAGAACAGCAAAGAGCTCAGCTTGATCAATAAAATCAAAATTATCAACCCTGCCCCCATATATTCTCAAACATGATAGATTCCTTGGTAGTAATTAAGATGATCCCAAAAGAGAATAAGGTATTAGTAATCCACATAGCATCAATGAGCATGATAGATTCCTTGGTAGTAATTATCAACCCTGTTGAGTGTTTTACTTGAAGCAAAAATTTTTGGCCGAAAATCTTGTGTACGACTTAGATCAGATTGTGACAATCTAGAATTTTGGAATGCTTGGTTAATAATAATTAAAAGATTCTGAGGTATAATTTGGTGGTTTCTAAAACCATTTTCATTCCTAGCAAACTAAATATAGTAAATGGCAATTGCAATCCAACCTAAAACACACAATGTTTATCTCACAGAGATAGAGATATGAACACAAGGTTAATATTCCATGGCACCGCAAAGAAGATAGCTTGTGCAAAACTACATTCAAAAAATAAATAATTAAAAACTTCACAAACCCATGGCATAACACACAATGTTTCTCTTGCTGCTCCAAACATAGCAAATCTTTAACTGGAACAAAATTACTAATAACCCTCCAGCTGATAACCAGGGGGGAATAGTCAATTTCCAAATCCATTTAAGACAAAATTGGAAGTCAGTAGGAAAACCAAAGTTTTTGAATCATCGTTGACCCGGATGGTCGGACCATTTGGACCAGAAAATGATCATTTGAATGATTTCGGTTTTACCTCAAACCGTCATTTAGTCCAAAACCATTGAAATTGTCAAAAAATCGTTGATCCAGTCGGTCGAACCATTGACCCATTTGACCCGGTCAATAGTTAGCGGTTTGGCATTTAAATTTATTTTGATTTATACTTTATTTTAAAATAAAAGTAAAACAAAAAAGAAAATGACAAACATATCCCAACTCCTAAACATTCGATGATCCCTCCAAAACTGAAAATCCAACATCTGAACCAACTTCACCGAAGAAGACGACAACGGCACACTGACACCTACCTTCCCGAAGTCTGAACAACCACCCACCAGCGACCAAGATTTGCAGCAGCAACCGGCAAACACGGTGAAACACTCTGTTTCCGAACATCTCTGATCTCTTGAAAGGAACGACATCTCTTGGAAGAGAACGATGGCGATCGCTGTGGACATCCAACCTCTGGTGACCAATCTTCGTTGCGGCTGCCTACGACCACTCTGGAAGGGGTACAACGACGACTATAAGGTAAAAACTTGCATGTGATTGTGTTTTTTTCTTTTTGTTTTTCTCTCATTTGATCTTTGTTTTCCAATTTCACATCAGGAACCACCACTCCATTGGAGCCAAGAACCACTGTATTTTTGTGGTATTTCTTGCAATACTACGATTTCTTTTTCTTATATTTTTCTATGTATTTTATTTAATTTTTATGGTATTTTTATTTTTTTAATTTATTTATGACATCATGGGTTGAACGGTTCAATCCAAATAGTTGAACTATCGAACTGAAAAAGGTGCCCAAAACAGTTCTATTTTCAAGTCGGAATTTAAAACCTTGCTAGGAACAGTTGTTGAAGCTTTTTATAAGCCTCTTTAGTGGTAAATTTACCTGATTTATGAGGAGTCCAGGCCCAATGCATATAGAATTTTCTGGAGGAAAAATGGGTGTTTGAATAATTTTAGTAGCCTTTGTGGGAATAAACATAGAATGAATCAAAAGTTCATTCCATTGGCCTGGACAAATGGAGTCCGGATCTCCTGCCCACGAGAACCCTGCCCATGCCTACCAACAATACACTACCCCCCATGAATCGGGAACATCTCCCTCTGATACTATGCAGAGGATGAGATGTTCTCCACGTGTGACTGCAAGAAACGTGGGCAGGAGATCCGGACTCGAAGAAATGAGATTTGAAATAGGAGAATTTCTAAGATTTGAAGACATTGGCTGTGCCGCCATTGTAAAAGCATTACTTGATTGGATCCAAGGAACTGATCCAAAGTGATTTCAGAATTTTCTTTTATCAGGCATTCACATTTTGAGGCCAACTCTCGAATTCTTGGAGCTACTGATTTCCAATAATCTTCACTTCTAAATGGAATGAGGAAAGAGACGGGTTTGGATGTAGTAGGCATGTTAATTAGACAAGCACAATGAGTGAGCACGTAATAGCTGTGTGACACATGTCCCAATTAATGTGCCTTTCATCCAAACGCTTTTGTTCCATTAGACAGAAATTATCCATTATTTTATTATCTATGTCAAAATAATTAAAAATAAAAAACAATAAAAAAAAAACGTAAATGAATTCCAACTCCCAAAACGTTTAGGACCTGAAAGAGTATTATTTTTTTATTTTTTTAAGTACTTTGACTTCCACAACTGAGCCCATTGCTTATGTTGCCCATTTAAGATACCTCCAACCCAATTTCTTTAAGATCATTTTTAAATTTTTAAGTCCCAAACCACCAAAGGCAGAAAGGCTTTTGGTAAAGTAATCTTGTACCACGAACACCACATATAAGGGTGACTTCGTACCTCTGACTTTTCCCACCAGAATTTTTTAATTACTTTTTCCACACTATGTATAGTTTTTTGAGGATACTGGATTGTACTCATTGAATGTAGGGGAACGGGTTGAAGAACAGATTGAATAAAAACTTTCTTACCTGCCTGACTGAGAGTTGATGCTTTCCACCTATTTAGTTTCGAGTTAAGATTGTCCAAAATATAATTCAAATTAGCATTCTTATTTCTGGACCAACACAGGGGAATCTCTAAATATCTAGAATGATGATTAAAGGGACTGATAGGAAGTTGCCTTTTAATCATCCTTTGATGACGCGGATGAATGCTCTTACTGAAAATTATTCTTGATTTTTCAAAATTAATCATCTGATCAGAGGACTGAAATTGATCTAAAATTTGTTTCAAATTGTCCAAATTCTCCCTATGGGCTCTAAGAAAAAGCACGATATTGTCAGAAAGAAATAAGAGGTGAGAAATGGAGGAGTGATTCAAGATTTTAATTCCTTGCAACTGCCCCTCATGTTCAGTCTTGAAAATCATGCAAGAAAGACCCTCCATAGCTAAAATAAACAAGTAAGGTGAAGAGGGTCACCTTGTCTTAAGCCTCTAGAGGAAAAGAAATGTCCTTCTAAAGTGCCATTAATCAAGAGAAAAAAGAAAACAGAAGAAATACATTCTTTAACCATTTGACAGAAACCTTCTGAAAACCCTAGGGGATGGAGTATTTTTAATAAAAATGATCATTCTAATCTACCATAGGCTTCAGACCACATATCTAACGTTATTGCCAGATGGCCTGTACCTCGTTTCTAATTTTTTAAAAAGTAAAACATTTCATGAGTAATGATAGAGTAATCCACCATTTGACGTCTAGAAACAAAAGCTGCTTGAGTAGGAGTAATACATTTACCTAACACATTTCGCTATAACTTTATACAGAACATTACACAAACTAATAGGTCTATAGTCTTGTACTTTTGTACAATCGACCTTTTTAGACAAGAGAGATAAATGGGTGACTCAACATCCTTAACAAACGTCTATTTACAAAAAATCTCCTAAACAAAGAGCATAATCTCCTGTCCCATCATATCCCAACATTTTTTAAACACTAAGGCTGGCATCCCATCAAGTCCTGGAGATTTTAAACTGCCAATACTAAAATGTACTTTTTTGACTTCTTCCTCTTAAGGTATTGCCAGTACGAAATTATTCTCTTCCTCAGAAATGGCTGGGCAAATTAGATGAGATAGATCATCAAATTCCTCTGATTGTTGAGAGGTAAATAACTTTGAAAAATATTTAACAAAAACTTGAGTAATATCTTTATGAGAAGAAACCCAACTATTTTGATCATCCTTTGCACCTTCGATATAATTTCTCTTCTACCAAAAAATTGTGCTTTTATGGAAAAATTAGTATTCCTATCCCACAAATGCAGCCATAACCGTCAAGATTTCTGTCTCCCAAAACTCTCAACTTGGGATAATAAATCCTCATATTCCTTATACAAATCATTTAGCCTATGGGAATCCCAAGTTTTAGATTGTTCCATCAAAATAATTTGATTATCTAAAACTTTAAGTCCATCTTTTGGATCAGTGAAAGTAGATTTTCTCCATTTTATTAGATAAGTGTTAATTCAATCCATTTTTAGAGTCAATCTATAGGATGTATGACCATTGATTTGAAAATTCCAACCATCCTCAATTACATCCTTACAAGAGCTATCAGAGAGCGACATCTCATAAAACCTAAAAGGCTTGGGGAGTTGTATTGTTTGAGGAGTAAGGTTGAAAATCAATGGATGGTGATCAGAGCCCCAACATGCTCCCAAAGAAAGAGAAACATTAGGATAATGTAGCAGCCAAAAGAATCAAATAAGTATTAGAATAATGTCAACTATTTGCTAATTTAGTTAATTTATCGTTAGGGATTTTAGTTTCACATAAAAATATAAATCAGTGCCTAGTTTGATGGAACTGCATATTAACCGCTTTTGGGTTGTTTATGAATTTTAATAAAAGTTGAAAATTATAATTATAAAACTAAAACAAATAATTTAAGATATAATTTTCCCCACAAATTTAATAAAAACTACAAATTATAAAAATAATTTATTTATCTACCTTAAATGATTTATATGTTTTTACTTTACATATAAATTATATGTTAAAATGAAAGCATATTTATTATTCAAAACATTGAGTTATTATTTATATAAAAATACTAAATAAATAAATTTCTCAATAAAATTAATAAAAATTTAAAAATAATTGATTTTATCAAGCTTAAATGATTTATATGTTTTATTTTACAATTATATGTAGTATAAAACAATTATATGTTAAAAATGAATATATATTTATTATTTGAAAACTGGAGTTAATATTTAGATAAAAATACTAATAAATAATTTTTTCCAAAATTATGTTTGCATGTTCTAGAGTCCTAGTATTGTTGCTCTTCATATAACCTATTAAAGTACATTTTTAATGTGTTTATACCTTATTCATAGATAATTAAACTTTAAATTTAATATTATTTATGTGATTTGAATACATTTCCCTAGAGTATCCAAGTGTTTCTATATCTTTTATATGTATCCATGTGGTTCTAAAGCATATCTATATTCATATTCATATCTGAATTATCTGATACGATACCCAATATCATTAATTTGATCCTTAACCATACCTACGATTTAAAAAGATAAAAAATGTTTTTTTTTCTGTGTTAAAAAAAAAAAAACACCTATTCTCACTTTTGAAAGTATGACCAATTAAAACCACCCTATAAATTTTGATGAATTCTCATTGGTTAATGTAAAACTTAGTACAAATACTTGAGAGATCTCGATGCAATGGATATGGAATGTTGTCCTATTGCTAAAACCAACCAGGACACGAGTTATTACATGACTAATGTCACTCTAAAAATATGTTTGGGCATTCATCGTCGCTGAAGATAAAGGATTTTAGAAAGATTTAGAACTGTTTGGATTGCACGTGAAGCGCATTTAATAGTGAATTCCGATCCATCCACAAGACACTACAGCCATACATCTCACTTACGACCCCATCAATGACGACATTCAAGTTTGAGACGTGCAGCCTGTGGGTGACTGGTGAGAAACCTCTTGCCTATTTCTAATAGATGACGAACAAGATGGAATGGAATTTGTGGGAACTATATGAAATATGACCACTCTATCAACAAATTCCATACGTTAATACAAGACAGATAATCCTTTCTCGGGTTTTACCCAAAATCAACAGAGCAGAAGTGGCTTCAAAAATCAAATGCAGAAGCCAGATACAAAGTTAACATGGTTAATTAGTTACCATGACAGTTAAGTTCTCGTCTATTATTAGACCCAACCATCAGAACACGCAATCAGGATCTATTTTCTATTTATATGTTCATGCCAACTTAAACCAATGGAGGGAAAAAAAAACATGAAGTTAGAGAAAACAGATGAGGAACTATATATCAACAAAATACTATAAACACACATGGGAGAACAAGAAACCCTTGTTCCTGAACTCTTGTACTGAATTGTGAGACCTATTCGGTATTTTGAAGAAGCATGCAGTAAAGGATATACAACTTGTATGCAAAAAGTGCTCACGTTTGATGCCAAAGCTACCATTGCTTGTGAACAAAATGCTTTTAGAAGCTCATATAGCAGTTCCCGCTGCAATCCAGTTCAGCTCACCTACAAATGGAAGTATACAAAGAAAATCAGATGAACAAAGTAATCTCAGAACAATAACATGAGATCTTCAAGCCCAACATGCAAAACAAGATCTGTTGCAATAGAACAAACCCAAGATCAAAACTGATTGACAGAGAGAAAACAAGAAATCACAGAACAGAGGAACTCAAGAAAGCACACAAAGATTTACGTGGTTCGGCGCTTATAGCTTATGTCAATGGGCAGAGTAACAAACATCCACTATAAGAAAATGGCAATGGAAAATGCAATGTTGTGCAATCTCACTCTCACAGAAAATCCTAAACCCTAATACAGCCCTCACTCAGACCTGCGCTATATCTTCTTGTACAAGCCCAAGCTACATAAAAGAGAAAACCCCAACTTAACACATTCGGGTCAGACTGATAAGCTAAAAATGGATTGGGTCCACCTCCACTATGAAATTTTGCCTTTGAGTTTTTTCCACAAATGTGGGTTAGGATATGGAGTGGGCTGCAAGAAAGAATTCAAGGCACAACTCCACAAGATCAATGCCAAAGTTTGATGATATTATTGAGAAATACTATTGTGATATAGAATCTATAGATTGTTCATACAAACACAGCATATATTAAAAATGAATCATAGATATATCAAATATACAAAAACACAATTACTTCAGCAACTATGGCAGCTATGTTGCATTAATCTTGTTACAGGTGTCAGACTCTGCAAATTGTAAAAAATAAGACATTTAATGCGGGAAGTATATTCGAGTAACAACTATGATTATTACGTAAAACTATAAGTACTTAATTTTAAGTGCTAGAACCACACAATAAGTGGAAAATAAGTACTTATTCGTGTTTGGCAAATGAGACTAGAATAAATACTTATTTTAAAGATAAGCACTTAAAAAATAAGCCAAAGTTGGGTGGCTTTTTTTAAGTGCTTATTCAATAAACACTTTTTTTTTGTGAAACAAGACTGTCCCCAATGTTTTGTTTATTTTCCAAAGGACTGCCCCAAAAAGCCAATAGAACCCTATTGTTCTCTACCACCAAATGTTAAATTGCAGCAGTGGCAACAGCTATCGTTCTCTCCATCATGTCAATATAATATCATAAATATCAAATATATGTCTATGTTAAGTTAGGGCTATAATTGTCATTTCTGAAAGTACAAGTTCTTGTGGGATAAGCAGCTCACCAAACACTGCAACACAAATAAGTATTTAAAATAAGTGATTTGGGAAAAGACCTCCCAAACACTAATAAGTACTTATTTGAATAAATACTTAAAAACAAGAACTTATTGAGTAAGTACTTACTCGAACAAGCACTTATTTCCCAAACATAGCCTAAGAATATCTCATATCTTTGGAATTTATCATCAGTGATAATACATGGTAGAAGACAGCAGAACCACAAATAACCACAAAAATTGATGAACAAGTACTATAGTCAAAATGCAGTAGTGGGATCTTGTGTGATATATTTGAGAAAGGTAGATGTGGGCACAGTTCTTATTTCTAATTAATTATTTAAAGTTATTTACCTTATTTTATACTTTTAACCTTTTCTGGTTAAGGTAAAATCGATGCAAAATTTTCCTACAAAAAACATCAATAATAGAAGTAAAAGAAAATAAAAGAGGAAGATGACCTTGTTTAAATTATTTAGAGTATAGTCTTAAAAGCATCATTAGCTTTCACAATGTACAATAAACCCACTCCAAAAACATAAAAAGAAAAAGAAACCCTCACTCATAAAAAAATGGTTGGATTGGCCCCCCCAACCCATGATCAATCCCGACGATCGACTATATGATCAACCCCCAACCCATTTAAAGAAAGTGCTTTTCCATTGTTATTTTGAAAAAAAAAATGCTACATTTGAAGTGATTCTTTTGGTCGTTATCTTCTTTCAAAGTGTTAAGGGGAGTTGAAACATGGACTACTTTTTCTTTTAATAAAGTAATCTGTTTTTGGTCAAGAAAAAAAATCCAGAACCATAAGAAATAAGAATATTGTCTTAATACTCTGTACTAATATATGCATACATTTATCTCAAAACATGGACCTTTTCTATTTTTCCCATTATAGACAGAACTCTGATGTCATGTTGCATCTAACTGGTTTTTTTGGTAAATATCAAACTGGTTTAAGAAGATAACATTATGAGGAGAAGGCAGAAAAGGGTACCTTAAAAGTCACCAGGTAAAATTAACATGAACAATAGCCATCAGCTCATCAATCCACATCCTTCACTTCAGCTTCTATGTCTACAACTGTTACAGAAGAGTCTTTTCCTGCATATATTTACAGGGAACAGGAAGTTAGAGGAATCTAAACCAGTAACTCCTGGAATTGGATTACAGAATCCAAGAACAAATCCAGTTATTATGGTAACAAGCATTATACAAATAACCTGGAAGAATAAACTAGAAATCATTTGGGCAGGACAATGTACCTTTCTTTGAGCGGGGGGAGAAACCATTGAATGCTTGTCCAAATGTCCTAGACTGGTTTGAAGAGAACTTGGTAGGTTCTTTAACGAACTCATTGCCCTCCACTGGAGTTAATTTACATTGACTTAGAAATCAGGGGAAGAAAGATAGTATATATATATTTGAAAATTTGCATTTGCCTCAAAAGCAAGAAGGTAACAATATAAATATTAGGTTTATAAATTGGATGAAACTCCAAAGAGGACATCAATACAGCATAGAAAGCTTATTTCCCATAGGTTCTGGCAAATCATCAGGAAGCTTTACTCCCCAAGTCACCAAAAAAGGGTTCCTCCAAAAAGGACCAAACATTCTGTTTTATATGGCACTATTAATAACAAGGGCCTCAGTATCAACAGTAGTTAAATATGACTTCACCTAATAAACTAAGAGCAGCATCATTCTGCTGGGAGAAGCAAGACCCCGTTCCCCCAAAACTAGATTGTCTTTCTGTGCTTTTTTTCCTCCACATATTGCAATATGAGGAATTCCCCCCACAATAAAGGAAATCTAAAATGTGTAAAGTGTACCGCATTAAATTACAAATTGAATTTTGTTGGATTTTACTTATATATATATATATATATATATATATTAGTTATTACCAGAGAAAGGTTGGGTACAGAAGGGGCAGAGCTGCAAACCATCCTTTAGAGAAGATCTGCAAGAGAAAGTCAAATCACTCTAAAATCTGGTTGGGAGAGGGAGGTATCAAAGGGATCAACACTATTCTAGTATATGATAAGGATTTTTTATGGCTGTTACCTGAAAATCTGAAAATCATTCCCACAGTTAGGGCACTGCACATACACCATAGTAGCAACAGAAAATGGTCAATTATTGTCCAGAAAACCATGCAACATTAACACCTAGATAACATTATAGAGCTCCTTTTGCTTAAGGAAAACAAATTACATAAGAATTAATGCAACTATGGAAGAAGCAATAGGCAAAAAGGTACACACTTCCATGGCTAAACTACTAATCTAGATATTCCTATTATAAGGATGCATCAATCTGTGAATATCCAGAGAACTATGCCAAGCAAGTATGTTCAAGCATTTGATTTGTAGTTTATGAACCCGTAATCATACACATGATGCAAAATGCAAGTAAGAAAAAGAATGGTTCCACTGGATTATTTGATTTTTCTTATCGCCTGTATTTTTGGACAATATGGGCAGTTTGTCAGTTTCTATTTATCCAATGTTGGGTCCCTTCATAGATTTTGTCTTTTAACTCCTTTATGTTTGTATTTTACTAAGTAATTTATCAGGTTTAAATGTCTATTACATGTATGTATTGGACACCAAATATAATCCATAGTACCATAGAAGAAAAAAGAACATAGAGAATATTTAATGGACTGTTTTATTCACTAATCAATTTGGGAAACAAAATAGTGCCTTAATTTATTGGGCTTTAGATGTATCCCATAGTATCATATTCTACATAAAATTGTGGCCTAAGATGATTTTAATAAATGGGTCTACCAAATTATTTGTTAGTTTATTATATTTTAGACATTTCACTTTTACTCCTAGAAATAGTAATATCAAATTAATTCTGCATATTAAGAGAAAATAAAAATAATGGTATACAAAAATAAAATATATTTTTTTTTAAATGGAGTTCTAAGAATATCAATTAAACAGTGATGCACTCATAGAAATTTCATAAAAATAAACTATACTAATAAAAATTATAGAACTTAAATTAGTCTTTATATGAAATTATACAACAAATAAATTAAAATTGTTCTTATTATTTATACACTTTATTTATTTAATAAAAAAATCCATGCTCATGAGGCTTGTTCCTCAATCCTCAAACAGGTGGAACAACTCATGCTACACCTTTGTAGCGAAAAAAAACTCATGCTACACCTCAGTATCTGACAATACTTATGTGAAGAATCAAGCAATCATCCATTTGAAATATTTAAAATTCATACTGGTGGTACATGCTCCTAATTCAAATTAGCCTGTTTAGGCACTTTTGGAGTATAGTATGAATAACCACATTTTCTTCTCAACAGATTTAAAGAGTTCAAAAATTTTAAAAAGAAAAATGATTAATCTCCTCTTCCTATTAACTATTAATTGTTTCCTTATAAAGAAATATGCTTCTCCCTCTCTTAATTTTTTTGATAGGTTCATTAAACACAAAAAGACTACAAATATAAGGTTCCAGCCAGATAGGTGGTGAATAATGCCACCAATAACACACATCATCATCAAAAGATTTAGCTCTCTAAGCCAGAGTATGCACAGCTCTAGCATATGCCCTAAATTATGCCTTTCACCATCTCATTCTAAGAAGGAAAAGAAGGGAAGAGTAGTTCCATCTTTACATGTTTCTCTGAAGAGACTTTTATGGCTATCTTACTAATAATTTTTTTGGACTGCAGTTTTGAACAGGATTGTGACTAGGGACAATTTAATCAGAAAGGGCATAGAAGTAGATGATGTTGGTTGTGTTACGTGCGGCACAAATGAGGAAAAAGAATACCACTTATTGATACATTGTGAATTTTCTTATTCCATTATGGATAAAAATGCTGAATTTGTTTGGGGTGGAGATGTGCTTAAGAGTTTTCTAGGAGCATGGGATTTAAAAGGTTTGAGTAAAGGTGGTAAAGCGGCATGAAATATTATTTTGGCAGCATTATTTTGGGCAATGTGGGTAGAAAGGACTGCTCGCATATTTGAACGGAAACAGGGTTCAGTGGAGGAGGTTATCAAGAGGGTAATGGGCATGGTGTGTTCATGGATGGAAAATCATAAGATAATGTCTTTGTAAAGTCACAGAAAGAGGTTTTGATGTATGGGCTTATTATAAGGTTGTAAAAAAATAAAAATTAAAAATGGGGAAGGCATTGAAGCATATGATAATTAGGAATAATAGATCAAACTATGTATTGGGCTATATAAAGTCCTTTTATATGGTTGCACATCACTTTTCACCACCTTACCAAGAAATGGAAATACTTCACATCTCTAATGATAGTATCCTATCCTAAGATGTCCCAATATGGATATCGACATGGACACAGATAGGGGAGACAGGAATTCAACTCTCCATTTTGTGAGATCTAAATCATGGATACAGTGCAAGTACCCCATCTTATATTCTCTTATCATACTCCTATGTTTAGTTTTCAACCTAAGCATCATTTCCCAATAACTATCTTGCCAACTTTAATTAAATTTCTATTGTGTACATTTTTTATAGCATGGTTTGTTGAAATATAATGTTTATATATTTAGAAATGTTAATGTTATGAAGTGTATCTTGAAGTGCCCATGCACTTTGCTGCATTGTATTGAGTATGTATCAAGTCTGGCAAGGGTATAGTAAGCATGTATAAGTATCCTGGTGATTATAGGTCCTACCCATGGTTATAGGTTGAGTATACAAAGAAAAAGAAAAGAAAAAGAAGGAACCCCATATAGAAATATCAAAGCTATTAAACATGCCAAAGACATTGAAGCAAAATGAGAACTGGGAAATGAGCTCAAGAATTGGGTTTCACTTAGACTAGATTAATCTTAAATAAAGATTCCCTCGGTTCTTTTTCTTCTATGCAAGTCAACATATTCTCATATTCCCCATACAGAAGAAACAATAAAAGATAATAGAATTTTCAAATAATAAGAGAAAAATCACAAGTGAAATAGGTCTTACGCTGCCTTGAATTATATCTCGTCCTGCCCACCAGAGGAAAGCACCCAACCCCACAATTGGCAGCAGCACTGCAAGAAGCTGTTAATGAAAAGCATGGTGGAATCAGTCAAAAGCCAGAGGGGTGAGAGAAAGAGAGACAAAGCAATTAGAGATTAATGCAGAATTGGCTGCTAGAAGCAGAATACTAGAAACAGATTGTTGTTGGATACATTAAGCCCCAGAGGCACGACAGAATAATATGTTCATATAGTTATATTGATTAGCTATCCTTGAAATTATTTAAAAAAAAAAGCCTGGAATAGCATCTAAAATGAGTTGAAATATAAAAAATCATAATATTGATTATGCAAACATCATTAACTAAATAGAAAGAATAATAATTAGGAGAGTTCCTTTGTAACTTTGCTTACTCATTAGTGTTCCTTTGGCCAAGGCACCTTTCTAGTGGAAATAGGAAAAATCATAAAGTACTGAAAGAAATACTGGAAATTATAGAAACATCTAAGATGTAATACTCTAAAGGAGGACCTCTGGTGAACATGAGATTCCGCCATCTAAGCCATGCTAATCCCACCATCTTTTTCACAATGGAGCTATTTTCACAAGAATGTTTCAGGGCCTCAGCCCTACGAAATTATAGTTACCTGTTCTAGCTCTACTATTAACAAGTAAAAAGTCCCAGTGAAGCATACTACCATCAAATGCAACCAAAATCACAAACAAATGACATGTGAGAGTATTTTCTCAACACAAAAAAACGAGAGAAGTTGCAATTGATATCCCACTGTGCATTAAGAAAAGCTTATCCAAGAACTACGAGCACCTGAACTGGACCAAAAGCCTAAAAAGAAGAAAGGACAACTTACCCATATCGAAACAATTGCATCCAAAACCCAACCAAGCTGCCCTGTCATTGAAAGATAAGTTAATCCAATAGCCAAAGCAAGATTACCCAAAACCCTCACAGTGTTGCTGTTATCTCTTCCGCCCCCACCACCATTAAATCCAAAGCCCTGGTTAACTTTAACTAAAACATCCCTCTTCTTCCTCCCCTTCTTCTCTTTCATGAAAATCTCATCTTTCCCTGCGCTCTCCCCAAACAAAGACCATCTCTCCACAGAAGCCCTCCATCTGAATGCATTCTCCTGGAAATAACCGACTTTTCTTCTTGATTGAGAACAACAGTTGATGGGTTGAAGGAATCTAAGCCCAAAGGAGCTTCTCTTCTTGCTAATATCACCGGATAAGCCGTTGAACACTGGAACGTTAATTCTTGAAATCTGAAGGGTGGTCATGGCGAACTTGTTTCTGTTTTATATAGACAAAACTGTGATTGGGGGTGTCTATAGGGGATTCATGGCGGGTGGGTATGTAGTTAATAACAAGAGCTTTCGTCCTAAATTTGGTTATATCCTCTGTTAAGCACCAAACGAGGATTTTTATGGTGGAGAAGACATGGATTTTATACCACAGAGATATTAAAATCTAATTGCCCATTTCATAAACCGTGTACATACTGACAATTTTGCCCCCAAACCAAAGAAAAGGATATTGCCTTATCCACGTGTCTTGCATGCAGTTGATTAATCTAGTCAAATGATCTTCAATCCTCTATCTGTATGTAACTCTCGGATAGGCTTAGAGATATTTTTGTTGCAAGTAATCGTTCCAGGAAGAAGTCTATACGGTGGATTATGTTCGAGACGGAAATATTTAATGGAGACATTTTTTGTGATGTTTGGCATCGATGACGGCGCTATCTGGTCTGCTTTAAATAGGTAAATTTTTTAAACTACCCTTGTAGTTTAGCGAATTGGCTAATTTTACTCTTATAGTGTGAAAATTGACACGATCTAATTCTCTAAAAGGTCGGCAGCCACGGGGACACCTACCTGAAAATTGAACATCTCCGATAACATCCCACCCGTTTCATAACCCGGCAACTCCCCAGATGCTTCCGCTTCTATTCCCACCAAAGGTGGAGGCACCTTGAACCCTTGCACCCTTAGTTTGTCCCTCCGGCTTTGCTGTTCGATGTGCTGTGCCTGCTGTTGCTCTTGGTGTGTTGTAGTCGATCTGTCAAAACCATTAGAGAAACTGAAGACGAGCGGAAACACCAACCCATCGCTGAAGTCGTGGAAGAGATCACCCGTGTAGCCACCGGCACTGAAGACGAGCGTCGGCTCATGGTGCTGGATTTGGCAGGGATCTGTGGAGAGATCGGAGGTGAGGGTGATTTGATGCGATGATGCTATCGTTTTTAATTCATCGTCTTCTGTCTTGGCTGTTCAGTTCTCTCTCTTCACAACAACTAATGAATTTTTTCAGTAAAATTTCTTTTTGTGAAAAAAGAAAACGTTACCTGTACATGGAAATTAACAAGTTGATCGATCTCCATTCATCTCTTGGTTTCTGGTTTTCCAGAGGTTTTAGGGATGGTATTTTAGGAATAAATGTGGTATTTTTAGGAATGAAAGTAGGAAGGGTATTTTTGGAATTTTTTATAAAATATATTAATCACATGACCGGAAAGTTAATGGATGCTAATGGTAAGGTAGAGTTAATCAATTGTCACAGTGGGGGTAATGTTAGTCAATTTTAAAATAGTAAAAGTATACTTAGTCAATTAACTAAACTATAAGTGTAGCTTAAGAAGTTTACCCTTTAATAATTAAAATTTGTTGTTAATTAGCTAAAAATATTTAAAGTTATTATTAATATCTAAAATTTTAATAATTATATTTTCATTTAATGTTGATTTATAGAAAATAATTATTGTTAATTTAATATGAACAAATATTTTTTTAATAAATTTAGCTTTATTAATAATTTTAATAAATGTTATTACTTTTAAATAAAATTTTGATTAACTTTAAATAAATACAAATAATTACAAAAGCTAACATTTTAATTAATTTCACTAATAATTAACAATTATATAGAAATGACAACGAGTTGGATTCAGGGCGGGGCACCCCATCCTTATTGTTGCCCCATAATCAAAACACTCTACCCCATCCCGCCCCGTCCCCAATGTCAGGCAGGTTCAAGGCAAGGCAACCACTCTTCATCAAAGATGGGGAACCCTTGAATGTCTCCGCCTCGTTCCCAATATTGGGCAGGTTCAAGTAGAGGTGTAAATTAGATCATGTTGTGCCGAGCCTTGGGCCAGACCATGTCGCGAACCGGGCCAAGTTATGAGAGGTCCACTTTAAAAAAAATGAAAAAGATGTTTAAATTTTTATTTCATATGATTTTTTATGTATACAATTGTTTATATATATAATTAGACCTATTCATAGGCCAGGTAGCCCGACGGCCTGGCCCAATACAATTACATATATAAAAAAGTACTTATGTTATATATAATAAATAATGTATATATATGCTTCTTAAATTATTAATAAATATCAATTTACTATTAGGAAATATAAATTAGTTTATTAATTTATTAAATTATTACTGAATTAATATAATATTAGTTTATAAAAGTATATTGAAAATAAGACATTTTGTGTATAGATCGAGCTTGAGCTTCAGGCTTTATATAAGGGTTAGGCTTGGGCTCAAGATCTAGGTCCGATGGTCAGGCCGGGCTCGTGTGGGCTCAGGCTTGCACATTTTCTATTGATAAAGAGGCTCATGCTAATTATAAAACTATGATTTTTTACAAATTAAAATATTTATTTAATTCTAGTCTAGTATAAAAAAATATATAACATTTCTATATATATATTAATATAAAATTTGTTATTTAAATATTATATAATAATATTTACCATATATGCATATAACTACCAAGTTGAACTTATTAGGCATCGGATCTGATTATCCCTAATAATGTATGGGCATTGTGGATATCTCAGCTAAAACTAAGTTAAAAGAAAATAGTTGCATGAGCCTACAAATTTATAGATCTAATCAGGTTAGGTTAAGTTATAAACGATTTGTTACTTTTTATTATTAATTATTAAAATATTGTTAGCTGTTAAAATATTGTAATTATTAAATTACTGTATTTAATTATCATATTTTCAAAAATATTGCTAATTTCTTGGATAAAACTAATTAAATGTAATTTTATGGTAATTAAATATAACTTTTTGGTAATTAAATATAATTTTCTACTATTTATAGCTTAAATTATAATTACTGTTAATTATAGTTTAAAAATAATTATTGTTAATTATATTACTATTAATAATTAAAATATATTTTTTCATTATTATTCAGTATTTTTTGCAATAAAATACAACTAATTTAATTTTTTTAATTATAAAGCTTTAGGTGTTTTAGAATTTTTGGATTTTTAATTAATTTTTGTTGTTTTTACATTATTATTTAGTAATTTTTGCATATAAGTATTTTTCAATATTTTTCATCATTTATTTTTGCATATTAGTCACTACAAAATTAATTTTCTTTTGCTTTCAGTAAAAATAAATTAAATAACTAAATAAATATCATAGTTAATAAAAAAAATATAGATAATTTTCAATATTTTTCAATAATTTCTGGCTCGAGTATTTTTTAATAATTTTTGGTATTCTTTAATAATACTATTAATTGTACTTTTTAGTTATTTTCAATAAATACCCTTATTAATATAAAATATTGTTAAATTTCAATATTTTTTAATTATTATTAGTATTTTAATTATTTTTTGGATTTTTAATTAATTGTTGGTATTTTAAAAATATAAATTAATATTTTTTATTAGTGTTTATTAAGGTATCAACTCATAAGTTATCTAATAATATTATTAAAACTATCAATTAATATTTTTATATTTAAATTTCTTATTTTTATTAGTGCTTATTAAGTTGGCTTTTTAAGTGGAATTGAAACACATTTTTAATATTTACTAAGTTTTGTTAATATTTATTTTTAGTGATAGTTAAGTGGATTTTTAAATTAATAATTTTTTTATTGTTTAACCTTAACCTATTTATATTATTTGATTTATATTATTGTTATTCTCTATCTCTCCCTCTCTCTCTCTCACTCACTCACTCACTCTCTCTTAATATGCATTAAAATGTCTTATTGTAGCTTTATTAATCTAATCAAGATAAGCAATGATTATTGTTTTATATATTTAAAACAAAAGAAAATAAAAATTGCAAAAATGGAGAAGATAGATAAATAGGTTATATATAGATTAGTTTGAAAAAAAAAATATTGTCCTAAATTATTTCTTAAAAATCGAGAAAGTGTGGTATAGAGCAACGCTAAATTCAATCTTTTATAAGAAAATGGCATATTGCTAGTACAGTGCAATGATGTGGTGTCAATGTGATATCATATTGGATGTTTAAATAATATAGATCAATGTTGAAAACATTACTACTAGCACTGGTATCAAACAAAACTAGTATTGTTTTCTTAGAAAACGCCTATGTGACAGCATCGGTTCCAAACAAAAAATAAGTGCTTATAGCTCCACAAGCCCAGCACCGTTTTTATGAGAAAACATTGTGATGTTCCCAGCAACTATGCCAAACACATACTTTATACACCTTAACCACATCAGCAATGATCGAAATGGAGTGCCTAGGATTTTTACTGTAACAACTAAGCGCAAGGTGTTCTACTGTCATAATGAGGTTTTTTGTTTTCAATTCATTTGTCTTTTGAAATCACTACATTAGGAAAAAACAAAACAAAAGCATGTTGAATTTCGTTTTTATTTTTAAAATGGAAAAAGAAGTTGGTTTATTTCAAAAATAAGTAAAAAAAAAAACAATATATGTTTTTCGAACCGTTCTTAAACAAAAAACAAATTTTGTAGTGATATTAAGTAATGAGAGGAAAACATGTTTTTAAAGTTAAAAATTCAAGTTGGTTTTAGTTTTGAAAGAAAAAGAGAAAAATATATGAAACCAACAACATGTGTATTGATTTGTTTTCAAACTAGATGGTATTGAACTATTGATTTGTTTTTGGAATGGGCAACAAGGTGAATCGTTTTTCTTGTTGCCCATTCAAAAAACAAAACAAAATCATCTAGTTTAAAAATATATTGATTCTCAAAATGAAAACACAAAAACATGTTCTTGGTTGTATGCATGTATTTTGTTTTCAAAAACTTGTTCTTAATTTTTTGGTTTAAAGAATGTGTTATAATCTGATTATTTAATATCATGTTTAATAAATCATATAATTTTTAACTAACTTAGTGGTGGCTCATTTGATACATTAGCTAGGTGGTCCCAGTGGAGATGTGGATTCAAGTCCCACTACCCGTTACTACCTACCTTGAAAATAATTAATGTGTTGCATTAAAATACCAAAAAAAAAAAAGTCATTAACTTTTTACCTTCAAAAATTTGCTTTTGTTTTAAAAACCATTGTTTTGATAGTTCCAAAAAACATGTACTATTTTTTAAGCAAAACCAATTTTGTCCTTACCTTTC